TTAGGGTAAACCAAAAGTTTTCTAGTTTTTTTTCTCTTTAAGTTTGAACAATTTTTTAAAGTTAATAAATTCGTTTTATATATAAATGCCATATTTATTTTGTAGCATTTGATCTGATCTTTCATATTTTACTAAGTTATCGTGTGTTTAACTATTTATTTTTAATTTTTTACTTTGTAGGAAAGGGCTGGAAAAATTCGAAATTCGGGTACTTTTATTGGAAACAATGGTTCAATGCAACTGAAGCGGCCAAAAAAATATGCCAAGTGGAAGGTGAAGGAATGTTCTCCAACAATATTGCGCGATATTGGTATCGAAAATTTAAAAACGGCCAACTTGGTCTCGAAGATCAGCCACGTTTGGGTCAGCCAACTACTGTGGATTCTGAAGCTCTACGCAACGCTGTTGAAGCCAATCCATCAACCAGTACTCGCAGGATCTCTGCTGAACTGGATATTCCTCAAAAATCAGTTATCCGGCACCTTCACGCCCTTGGAAAGATCAACAAAAGCTGCCGAGAAGTGCCACATGATTTAATGGAAAATCAAGCTCAAAATCGTGTAAACACTTGCTGAAAACTGCTGGAAAATCCGGACGATGACCGCTTTATTCGCCGAATTGTGACTTGTGATGAAAAGTGGGTCTATTTTAGTAATCCAGACAAGCAAAGTCAGTGGTTGAATCCCGGGCAAGTAGCGGAACCGGTAGAAAAACGTGATCGATTCTCAACGGAATTTCGAAGGCATTATTCACTTTGAGCTGGTTCCAAATGGTCGGATCATCGAGGCTGACTTCTACTGCGCCCAACTTGACCAGATGTATGCGGCGCTTAGTGAAAAATATCCCGCTTTGGTCAATCGAAAGCGCATAATCCTTCGGCAGGACAATGCAAAACCTCACACCGCCAGACAAACAAAGGAAAAGGTCAAAAATCTCGACTCAATTGAACTTCTTCCACATCCAGCGTACAGTCCGGACCCTGCACCATCCGATTATCATCTTTTCCGCTCCATGGCACACTTCCTTTGCGGACGAGCCTTCAACAATCTGGGCGAAGTCGAAAAAGGGTGCCGCTAGTTTTTCGCCTCTAAGAACAAGGAGTGGTATCGACCAACTTGCCGATAGATGGCTTCAAGTCATAGATTCGAATGGCCTTTATTTCGAAACTTAGAGTTCGTTCATTGTTGTTTTATTTATGTTGAAAGTTTTAATAAAAACAAATAGAAAACTTTTGGTTCACCCTAATACTATAATCCTGATCCCGAGTTTTTATCCAATAACTTTTGATTGTGGAACATTTGATACCCACTCCATTGGCATTTCAACTTTGAACTCAAATATCTTGGTGTTCGGCTGTCAAATTTAAATAGTTTTTGTACCAATCGACAGAGAAAGACTTGGCACGTCCAATGATATCAAAAATATTTGCATTGGACAGCCCAAGACCAAGATATTTGAGCTCAAATTTAGATTGCTAATGGGAAAAGGGGCGGATGTCCGATAATCGGGTTGGAATGCACAGCATAAAAAACCCAGTGATTCGACCATCCATCCACCCGAAAAAGAAGAGCGCCAAAGTCGGGTAGATACGACTCTTCATCATCCGGGCCATTCCATTACATAATCGTTTCATTTATCATATGCCCGATAACCATAACTTTTCGCTTGATTCACAAAGGATATCGGAAGTAGATAAAAGTTAAAGCAAGATTACGGTAATTTTTAAAATTGACACCTTTTAGAGAAGGCTGAAGAAACTTGATTGATTTAGATTTATTCATTGGATCACTGTGAAGAGATCGGTTTCGAGGAGATGAAATGTGCTTGTGATTATGGTGAGAAAACAGGCAAAAAATTTATAGCTGCATTTCTAGGATGGAAAGGCGAAAATTGTTCAGAGAATGGGACTTAATTTGTAAAAAATGAAATGATGAAATAAATTTATCGAACAGAAGCGAAAATCTGAATAATATCTATTCAATTGTCACATATTTCATCACAAATTTACAATAAAATGATCCTTGTTGATTTCCTGATTTCTCTTCATTTTCCCCTTTTGCCATCATCAATAAATCTCTTCGCAAATCGACTTTTTGTCGATAAAAGTATTTAAATTGTTGATGAAAGTGTTGAGGAAATAATTCTTCAGCATGAAATCCAGCAAATTTCCGCATTAAATCCTTTTCCTCAAAAATGGAATCAAAATCTTGAGGAAATTGAGCCAACTGAATCGATTTCTCTTCAATTTTGCTTAATCCATCAAAATTCTCATGTAAATTTTCAAATTTGTATTTAAAATGAGCTCTTTCTTGAGGAGTTCCCGAAAATTTACATCTAAAAACAGCTGCTTAATGGAAATTTCCGCTTGGAATTCCGGTTTTCAAAATTTTCTGAAAAACATCGAAAAATTGATTTGGATTGTAAAAGCTCAAGAATAACATTTGAAAATTTGATTTTTTCAAGAAATTCCAAAATATTTTTGGGTCACCAATTGGGAAAATGATTTTCGTATTACTCAATTTTTGAAAATCAAAAATCCCAAAGTTTTCTTCAAATTCTTCATCTTTCAAATCTGAATCGTTCAAAATGATCAAAAATATTTCGAAAATTTCCGGAAAACAGTGTACAATTGGGATTTTCAGGTAAGGAAACGGGCCTTCAATGGCAAAGTTTTGAACAAAATGGAATTTTGCGTAAATTTTTCGATCTTCAAAGATTTCTTCAAGTTCCGACGAATCTTGCAATCCGGATAGAGAAATTTTAAGTGACTTTGAGCTTTTCAACAAATTCTTGATGATATATCATTCAGTGAATGAATCGATTTAATTGATGCTTTCATTTCTTGTCCTTCTTTTGCATTCAAATGACACATTCGTAAATCCAGCTTTTTCTTTTTTAGATAATAAAACGGTGAAATCTTTTGTTACATCGATGAATGCCTTAAAATAAGCACCTTTATTCGAATTTTTCGTTATTTGAAGCTCGATCAGCTCGTTTTTCGATGGTAAAGGCCCGTTTTTCAAGATTTTTCCTCGAAATCGTTTGTTCACTTGTAAAAGCGATAAAGATTCATAATAACCAAGTCTTTTGATAATAAAATCGTGTAATTCATTGGGAATATTCATTGGGAACAGCGTCGGCCCGCTATTGCACTTACCGGCGGGATCAGCGCACACCCGTCGCAAGAGGGGTAATAAAGAAATGAATGGGAACAGGAACCGGTTCCACGAATTGTTGATCCAACAGAGATTATTCAAAAAAAAACTAATTTAAGGTTTTTGTAGTGAAAAGTCGGACTTTGATCGATAACTTGAATAGACTATTGTAGAAGTTAATTTTATTGATGCGTTCAATAGTATAGCTCAAATTTTATAATACTTTATAATTTGGATAGAGTCCTCGTTTATTTGTGCGTTGATTTTTGCCCAAACTGTATCCATAATATCGATTGGCTCCACCACCGAATGATTCCAGTGATATTATAAACCGATTATAGATTTAAGAAGTGAACTTGATTGCCAATTTCTAGCAAAAGTTATGTTCAGCCTTAATTCGATTTTATCGTTTCTCTCCGATTGATGATCCTCGATAGTGACCTGGTTGCGAGCTAAAACAGAAAAGATATCGGATAGTGAACCGAAAAAGAAAAATGGCGTGGTGTTTTTCTGTAGGATTTCCAAGTTTTCACAAGTTTATTTATATTTCCTCAAAGAAGCGAGAAGAAAGAAGAAGAAAGTCGTACAAAATGTTACTTGCGTGCAGTCGAAATAAGTAAACTAAGTTTTTATTAAACAGCGCTAAAAGTGAGATCGAACAAGAACCCAATTCCTCGAGATAGGTAATAGAAAGTCCAAAAATTTGTTCAGAGACCAAGTTGTTTGCACTTTTCGTTGAATACCCGTGAGATATTCGAGAAATAATCCATAAAATAATAGTTGGTATTTATCTGAAAAGTTAGCAAATTATTGGGTTACTGGTAATTTCTGTCCGTTTTCGGAAGAACTTTAATCAAACTTGCCACTTTGCGTTCTTTTTCTTCGTTCCTAATTGCGTTTATTCTGGAAATGGACGCTTCTTTGCTTTTGTAGTGAAAAAGGACCATGTCATTTGTATCTGCATAATCCCTCACGTATCGCCATCGAACAAAGGAAGTTGCTTCATGAATGAACTGAAAAATGTGACAATGCGGAAAGTTCTGAATTGCTTGTGATAGACTTTTTTAGGGAAATCCCATGAATCAAATGGACATGAAAAATGCGCCTAACAAAAACAAGTCTCCACATTTTACAGAGCAAAACCAAAAGGTTTACCGGTTCCAGAACGTAATGCGGTCTCACGATGCACTTCGTCGATATCTCGTCCGCATAGTCGATTTGTTCGTGACTATTCAGAGTAATTGGTAGTTCATTACCCCTAAATTTAACAAAACTAAAATGAATTCTTGAATTTTTCTTACTCCGGAAAAACGTAAATGACTTTGAGTCTCAGCGAGGCGCGGTTCTTGTTCGAAAAGAGTTTTGGGATCAGAGTCAATCTGGCAAAGAATTCTGATCGAACAGACATTTCCAAACCTGTTTTCTATCGATTGATTGTTATTGTTCGCTTTAGGAATCACAAATTCATCTAAATCTTGAAAAGATACGAATTCCGTTCTTCCATTGTGACGGAGGAGACAATCAGTGATCTAAATTTGAAGCTGCCGTTTAAAGTCCATAGATCTCAAAGGAATGTGAAAAGCAAATATATTAAAAATTCTTGTCACCCCTCGCTACTAAAATTTCCGAGTACTAGTATATCCTGTGCAGAGTCGGGCCGGTTAGGGCCGAACTTGGCCTAAAGGGGAACGGAACCTAGATCAGGCCGAGATTTGACTTTGGCATAGGCGAGTTACGAGAGTGTTCAGCGGTTACATATATGGTTACCGTAAGGAATTGTCCATAATAGTGGACGTCAGCGGAGTCAAACGGCATCGAGAAAGGAATATTTTCGAGGAGTCTACAAGAAGATTGATCATTTACATTTCATCAGCAACTAACCCTTCTTTCGAATACTCTTTCATCACCATTTTCAGCTTTTCATTCAAAGAGTCATCCGAGTAAATTGAGATCTAAATAGTCACTTATTAAAGCCAATTTGTCGAAATGAATAGACATGAAGAGGGATGTTCCAAATTTCAAAGCCAGACCACGTCAAAATCAAACAAGTCGAAAAAAATGAGGTATGAATGAGTTGACCTGATCAACACCCAACAGACGATTGGCTTCCATGAATTCCACAAAATCTTTTGCCGAGTATTTCTCTCCATAAAGAAATGGAACACAAATGCTAAAGGTTTGAGGGAAAACGGCGATGCTTCCTTCATCCTGAATGGTTTTGGAGTTTAGGAGCTTCCAGGATAAACCTGATCATTTGTCGGTTTGAACGTCAATAGGAACATCACGAAAATTCATGTCTTGCCTCTTTAAACTCAAATTTTTCGTAAACTCTTTATCGTTGCATAGCATTTTAAAAACTCTATTCAATGATGGTAAGAACTTTTGAAAAAGTTGCTTTTAAAGGGATCAAGACGTGGAAATCCGTTGCACTCCTATTCACACAATCAACACCTGTATTTTGTAGCTGATTGGAACGGCGACTGATGTCATGCTTTGTTCATCCCATATTCTGATCTCATCTAAAAGCTTCCAATGCAAGTTTGTCATTCTTTCATACCAATAGTTTCCAAATCAATATTTTGTGGTGGAACGCAGTACATATAGAATAATTTCTTTCCCTTTCCGCCATTATTATTTTGTAACACCATTTCCCCAGTTATTTTGGATCCATCGTTGAACTGAAATTGTTTGAGGTTATATTCTTAAAAAGAGTGAGTTCTGTTGGAAAAGGGGGTACTATCCTAGTTTGGGGAGCACTTTTTTCGAAAATTTCATTTTTCTCCAGTAACTTTTTAGGCTGATCACGAATTTCACGTTTTTAACCTAAGTTTAATTAAGAAATAGCTACTTTTTGCCACTTTAAAAATAACTCAAAGCGTTTTTTGCATATACAAATTTCTCGAGCTTAAATGTGTTTCGCTGGTGTTTCGCGGTGTTTCGCTTCTGCCTCAAAAGTATACTCACTTACTACCAACTCAATTTTGTTAACCCAATCAACGGTGCCCACACGCAAAACGTGGATTTAATGTGGTACAGATTCAAGAACAAGTACGGCATCAACACATGTAACAACGGTAGATACGAAAATTTGTATTTAAATGCAAAAACGCTTACTTTTAGTTATTTTTAAAGTGCCAAAAAGTCGCTATTTCATAATTAAACCTAGCTTGAAAACGAGAAATTTGTCTCAGCATAAAAAGTTACTCGAGAAAAGTGAAATTCTCAAAAAAAAGTGCTCCCCCCCAACTAGGATAGTACTGAAATCGGTGTATCTCTAATATTGAAACAATGTTTTTTATTAAGCTTCCAAATCAACACTTACCTGACAAGAAAAACCTTTGCTTCTTGTAAGCGCCATTAGTACTCGTACATTTCCAGTGTTTACAAGTTCAGTGTCTACAAATAAATTTTGTTATTGAATAGATTAATTAAAGAGATTTTACTATGGCCGAGTCAAGCAGTGTTAGTTTCTCATAATTGTCTTGATAAGTTCATTTTCTGTGATCTCTTCACCTTCTGAAAATTTTACATGTGTTGGTTACGTTGACATTTTGTGATTTAGATGTAGAACTAAGAAGAAGTGAAGTGTCACAGAAAATCAACCTTCAAAACATGAAACATGACCTATTGTAGATGCCTTAAAACACGGAATCCGCAGTTAAAAGTCCGGCAAAACGGACTTGTGAATGTTATCAAAACGATTTTCTTTAACATTTAAACAAAAACCCACTTTGAAACAATGATATCAGTGCTTTGGCGCCGTTTAAAATTTTGGGAAGCAAGAAGTCTTTAATTGCTTCGGGAAAGCTCGGATCAACATCTCTTCGATCAATGATAGCAAGAAAAGCATAATTTCCTGGCGAAATCTCGATAAATTTATTCGCTTTCACTGTTGGTTCGGCTGTAGCTTCTTTAACAGAACTTGGTTGATTTGATCTCTCGGGTGTCATAAAATTCGCTACATTGGTCGTCGTTAGTTGAGAAATGGTAGCAGCTCTGAAAAATTGTTTTTAAATTATTTTTTTCTTTTGAAAACAAAAATTGGTAAAGTTTTGCCGTTTTCTTTTATGTAATGCTATTCAAAAAGCATTTTTTTCAGTAACTCCTTGAACTGACAAACTTAAAATACAAAAACTGACCGTGAGACTGAAGCGTTTTGTTGACTGTACGTGAAATAATAGACCAGAAAAACGGAGGCCAAAATGCAGGCAAAAATAAAGCGCTCATTTTTTTTATATGTTTTCTTCATTGCCTTAAAATTTGAATATGCATCCATTTTTTGAATAACAATCCATAAAAATCAATAGGAGGTTTGAGAAAAGGAAGTTTTCTCTTTCTTTTGACTCCTCTCCACAATTCTTATCTCTTCTGAGATTCTTGAGCAGAAAAGTGGTCATTCCTTTTTCAAAAAGAATAATAAATTTCAATTGGAATTTCAATCGTGCTCTTTTCACGGAAATTTGTTGAAAGAAAGCCGTTGTCGGTATCCCTGATCAAAAAAAGCATTGAAGAGCTTTCTTTGTCGATTTTATCAAGAATCGATGTTCAATGGTAAAGATCGAACTGTGTTTGACATGAAACTTCAAATAACTGCTTTATTCTCAATTCAACACATTTGAATCCCGAAATAAACAAAATCAAAATTATAAATGTGAAGAGATTTTTGTAGAAGGTCATCATTTCCCAGGAGTTCTTTAGTGAACTTTTCCCTCAACTCCAATCAGTTTGAATAGGCTTTGGGCAGATGATCGAGCTCGGTTCCACTGTGGTTCAACTTACTGGTTCAACTTACTAAACTTTTTGGCATTAGTTTTTTTCTATAATTTACTCATAAGAAACATTGGCTTTGTGTAGAAAGCTGAGAAATTTATCGTTAGCCACTTTTCGGTTAGTTTGATTCGAGTAGGTGATAATGGAGAAGCGGACGCGCCTTAAAAAGCAGAACCTAAATAATTTATGTTATTTTTGCGTTACGATGAACAAAATCAGTCATAGGTTCTATCCCTTCTGCGACAATTTTTTTGTTTTGGCGCTAGAGTATAAAATGTTTTTCTGGTTTTCTGTGAATGATGTCAAATTGCTTTGTTTAACTTTTAGAAAAGAAATGTTAGGCCGAACAATAAAGGAAAATGTGTCCTATAATGCGAACGTACCAAGTTTGTTAACAAATTCTATTAGGCTTTCATCTACTCTCTTATAATTAGTAGATTTAAAAAGAAAAAAGAGCAAGCAACTTTGAATCAGGCAAAAATGTTGATTGTTAGAAGAGGAAAGGTAGAGAAAGGAAGAATCACTGCAGAGATGGGACGAAATCGAAGGAAAATCCTTAAAGCTGCCCGGGAAGTCCGATGTAAAAATCACAGAAAAAGAATGAGAAGAAATGTAGTTTGTCCATCGCTCTCTCCGTTACAAACCCTTGCACTTTACTCGAAATCTAAAGTATCGCGTGACGTTCATCGAATTTACAGCCATGAGACCCGAACTCTTGCAACGGAGTATCGTATGAATATGGTACGAGCAAGCCTTGCAAAAAACGTCGACTACGAAACTACGTATATACGTGCCCATTTTGCTGATTTCTCTTCCCTCAATTGTGTACAGAGAATCTTCTGAAGAAAAACATAGGCACGATTTTTAAATGTGGTTTAAAACAACATTAAAAACATACTTCAACATCCTGATTTGTTGTTCGACTAATCCTTGGCTCTGTGAATGACGAGGACGACCGTGTACAATTCGACATCCGGGCCAACGATTCAAAAGTTCTTTGACCTCAACAATCACATTTTAATGGTACTAATAAAAGTATTAGTTTGTTATTCTTAAGGCTCTCAAAACAAAAACGGCTTTTGAGGTGGTCGATCACTTGACAGAAATATTTGGCACTTTTGGAGCCCCACAAATTCTTCAATCCGACAATGGACGAGAATTCGCTAACAAAATGGTACGTTTTTAATGAAAATACTTTCATTTTGCCAAATATTTCTGTCAAGTCAAAAAAATGACTGCTGGTAGTTGTTGGTTAACCGTCTCTTTGTGAACAAAAAATATACTGAACCTATTAAAAACCTTACTAAGAGTTAGTTTATAAACAATTAAAATAGAGATAAGTTAAATATAACTTAAAAGCCTCTGGCAAAAACGACAAATTCAAATACAGTAATATAAATGTCTGGCTGCTTTAAATAGGTTGTTGGCGATTGACCACGTTTTAGCGTGCACAAAGTCGCAACAGTCATTTTCAACTTTAAAGGGCATGAAGTCTTTGCAGAGTTGATCAATTTTTATTGTTTTGGTATCAAAATGATCTTTATAAACGTCCACAAAAAAGTTATCGGTTTTGAGGGCGCAATCCTTCGACCAGGCTGAAAACGAGCCGCCAAAAGTTGGTCGCTTGTAAAAGTTGCTTGTAAAAGTGCGATTTTTTCGATAAAACGCGATTTTAAAAAATCGAGTCAGATGGATTTCGATAATCTCTTCACCATTCGATTCAGCACAACTTTCTGCGTCGAATAGATACTCTAAGGTGAAATTCTGATAGAGAACACCATTTCGCGCGGATGTGCGTTTTCTTCCCATTGTGCAATCAATGAAGAATGGACGCTTTCATCGAGGAATTGACCGATCTCCTTTTGAAGCAATGTTTGGAAAAAAAATGGTACTCGGAAATGAAAACGGAATCGTTCCAACAAATGAAGAAAGAAATGCCACGGATATTGAGAATGGGGTAGGACAATTGTGTTTCAAAGCATTTAGTTTGTATTTTTTAGGTTTTCGAAGGCGAGAAATTTGACGATTGGAGTGTGGCAATATAGACATCTAGCACAGAAAATCCGTCATACTTTCCCGAATCAGACGAAGAACTCGATTCCGATCGTGAGTTAGGTTCGTGGTTTTGGTTTGTATTTTTGGTCTTGTTTCGACTTAATATATAGTATTACATTCATTTTAATCTTTAGTTTTAACTCAACGGGCTGCAGAAATTGAGCATCGAAAGGGAGCCGTCGAATCTCAACAGAAACAGGCCGACAAGATGCTGGAGAAATCGAAAAACAGGTTTTTGTTAGCGTTCGTACTTCTGAAATTAAACTTTTAAGTTTTTGGATTGATTTTTTAGATTTGGACCAGTTGAAGTTGGCATGACGGTTCGTCTCCCAATCGATGTCGTCAATCGACCTAAAATCGGTCACGCGTCTCTTTTTGGTCTCGTGCTGTCTTCGGAGGAGGGTTTATATCAGATTGGCACCAAGAATGAAGTTTTGCAGCAAAAGTTAGTTAAACTTAAATATTAAATTTATTCATTAATCTTTAACATTTAGGCTCACCCAAAATCAGTTTGAACCGGCCAACAACAATTTTCTCTCCGCCGATGACGTCCCTTCTCAAAATACAACGTTTCGTTCAGCTATCGGAACCGAATCATTATCAGGAACTCAGGGTAAACTTAAATATTTCATTTACCCGGATAATTTTATGTTTTAGGTCACAAGCATTGCAATTGCCCAAATGGATGCACGAATGGACGATGTGTGTGCCTCAAAACCAATATGCTCTGCAATAGCCGATGTCATCACAGTAATTCCTGCACCAACAAATAAACAGTTTGTTTTTATGCATTTTAGTTGATGTTTTGTTTGTTATAAACCTTAATATGTTATATTAGGTTGATGCAAAAGTCTTTTTCATTTTTTTCGTACTTCCGCTTAAAACCAACAAATGCACCAATTGAACTACGGTTGATTTCATTAGAAAAACCAATTATTTTTCTGCAAAATAACATTAAAACGGGTTTAAAAATATTTTATGCCTGGATTTTCTTGAGAGTATGAAGTCGGGTAGTCAAAAAGAGCTAACTCGATGATGCGGTTTAGACACCTTAGCTAAAGAAAACCTATCTTCGTGTCAATAGATAAAAGATAGAGAAAAAAAAGTTCGATATTTCGCCAAAATTTCAGAGAAATTCATTCAGCCAATTTTTCCGTAGAGTTTTTTACGAAAAAGGCGCTTTTCACTCTCGAATTTGCTTGAAAGTGAACCGAAATTGATTTAAAAAGATGCAAATTGAACAAAAAAACACTTTTTTTATAGAGCAAACTATAGATTAATTGGTGAATTTGTTACTTTTTAACAGAAGTACGAAAAAAAATGAAAAAGACTTTTGCATCAACCTAATACATGTTAAATGTTATAAATTTTATTTCACTTGTTGTGATTGATTTGCTGATTTGTGTTTTGCATAAATAGTTCGAAATCAAAAACTCATTTGGAACGAGCCATGTTCGCAGAAGCCGATTACAAATTGTACACGGCTAGCGAAAAAATTTCATTCGTAATCGGCTAGCCGTTAACGAGATTTGTTAGCGGTTGAATTTCGTAAACGGCTACAACATATAAATATAGAAGTTGACGTAAAAGATAATTCACTTAGATAAGCTAAGAGGGATAATGAGTAGCCAAAGTCAACAGCAGAGTAGGGTGCACTCAGAGGAGTTGTATGAAAAGGATTTTAGGTCACCTATAGGTGGTAGGAGCGGTCAATAAATGTTGACATCTATGGGAGCAAGAGGAGGATCGCAACAAAGCAATTCACCTAGAATTCAGAGTATCCGAGAGCAGGAACCCCAACAGGGGGGACATAGCTGCTACCCTCAAGTAACAACTACCAATCTATTTAATATGGCTAACTTGTTCAATATTTTAAATTTGGTACAAAACAGTAGTTATAAGATCTTTTACCAAAAATAGAGCTGTCAGTACTTAGTGAGCCAGAAGACTGACCAGAATGGTGGTAACTTTTTGAGGTAACAATTCATAAGGACAGTAAAATTTCAGATATCATGAAATTTTAAGAAGTATACAGCTGGAGTAGCAGCTGAGTTAATTGGTAGACTACCAAATCAAGGAACATCTTATGCATTGATTGATTTACTTAAAACGACTTATGGAAAAAGTGAGAATATCGCTAGAAATTTCTGGAAACAGCTTCAAAGTATACCAACCTCTGACAATAGAGTAGTTAATTTGAGACAAACCATAAATAAGTTTGTAACGATGGTTAATAGGATGAAACCTTTGATTACTGTTAGTTCAAGTGCTTCAAATCCATTCTATTAATATCAAAACTTAAAAATTTAGATATTAAAAAGTAAAGTAACAGTAAAGTATTAAAAATTAAAAAGTAACACCGAGCGGAAAGTTTTCCGTTTTACACCTATCGGCAAATGCCAAGAGAATC